ATTGGTCTCAACTATCCCATGTTCCACAGCACCTCAAGGCAGCGGTCAAGATAATCCAGTGGGTCCTCAGAAAGTGCACGGCTGAAGTGAAGTGGGAAGAGCTTTGTGAACTTGTCCAATCTCAATAATCCCTCAGAAGACATGACGGGCCTATCACCGGCCTGTGCAGCAACCGGCTGAACTACCCCAGCTGACGGGGCTGCTGGAGTTTGATATTAGGGATCCATCTACTCCCGAGTGTGAGTAGAGGGAGTTTGTGTACCTCCCCCAACCTGAGGATAGTTGGTGCCATAAGAAATGTACCGTCATGGGCCACACTCTCCATAAGGCCCATCAAACGGACTAGAGCGCCCTAAAGTATTGGGGTGTCGATGAACCCCTCCGGGACCTGAGCTGGACCAACAGGTGTTGTCTGAGCTGGAACCTCTTCATCAAAATCCACCTGAGGCTCCACTGCTGGTGGTGCTTCTCGAGCTCTAGGCTGAGCTCTGCCTCTGCCTCGGCCTCGGCCTCGGGCGCGACCTCGACCTCGACCTCTGCCCCTCGTAGGAGCTGTCACTGGGGGATCCGGCTGCCGTCCAGCTGAAGATGTAGTACGTGTTCTCGCCCATCTGCGAGAGAACAATAAATACGGCACGACATCACCCTTCGTGCTTTAACTCTCGTCCTCACTATGTATAAGTCAATAAATGAAACAATAATCGGCACGGCATCACCCTTTGTGCTTTAACACTCTCCCTTATCACGTAGCAATGAATATATAAATGGGAGATAGAATACGAAAGAATAAATCTTACGTCAATAACGGTTTCACAATACCAAAACACAACTTCCAAAAATACTCAAATATCACAAGTAGTTCGTAAATGCGAAAAGATCGATCATTTAAGTAATAAACTAGTCTAATCATGGATATCATAATCAAAAAGGAAATAAATTACATGAAACAAGTCCCACTTGCATGCTTATAACCCAACAATAACGCATAAGTACTCGTCACCTCACATATACGTTGTACCCAAACATTTAATCACGTAGCAAATAGGCAAAAAAAGTCTTAATCCCTCAAGTTAAGGTTAACCACGACACTTACCTCACTCTGTAGTCAACTTAGAGCTCTACCGAGGCTTTTCCTCTAGAATCGGGCTCCAAACCACTCGTATCTAACCACAATCGACTTGATAGCATTAAGTAGTGCTAAGGAAATCAATTGCAGTACATAAAGATAGGACTTTTACACATTCCCCAAAAAGTCAACCCCGGGCCCGCTTGGTCAAAACCCCAGGTTCGGACCAACACCCATTTACCCATTCACCCTCGAGCCCGATTATGTAATTAGTTTCAGAATACGACCTAAAACTGAGGTCTAAATCTCTAATTTGAAAAACCCCCAATTCTTTCTAAATCTCCAGTTTTCTACCATGGAAGAACAAAGATTAGCGCTAGAAATTAATGGGTGATGTTAGAAATGGAAGAAAATGAGTTAAAGTGTATAAACCTACGAATTGATGATGAGTTTTCCCTTCAAAATCACCTCAAGGCAGAGCTCTAATGGAAGGTTTATGAAAAATGGGAGAAATCCCCTTTTGGGGCTGCTTTAAATCACTAGCATCAGGTGTTCATCGCGTTCGCGTGAAACCTGACGCGTTCGCGAAGGGCACTACCCAGATGGTTTACACGATCGCGAGTATCTCCATGCGTTCATGAAGGTTCAGCCTGCCTCACCCCCGCATTCGCGTAGAGTAACCTCAACTCCCAGACCAGACTACCCAATACTATGCATTCGCGATTGACTGGTCGCGTTCACGAAGAACAGACCCCCCTAATGCTCCGCGTACATGGTCTCGCGTTCGTGTAGAACAAAATCCTCCCCTCAAATTCCCCATCGCGATCGCGAGAAGGCTTCATGATCGCGAAGCACAATACACAGATGACAGCTGAAGCTCAAAAAACCAGGCTATCCGAAATTCACCCGTGCCCTCGGGGCTCCAAACCGAACATGCACACAAGTCCAAAATATTATACGAACTAGCTCGCGCAATCGAAACACCAAAATAACACCTAGAACTACGAATCGGACACCAAATCAAATGAAATTTTTTAATGAAATATAAGAATTTCTATTTTAACAACCGGAAGTCCGAATCACGTCAAATCACTTCCGTTTGCGCCAAATTTTGCAAACAAGTCATAAATATCGTAATGGACCTATACCAAGTTCTGAAACAAAAATCCAGACCCGGAATTAACAAAATCAAACGTTGGTCAAATTTATAAAGTCTTTAAACCTTTAAACTTTAATTTTTCGACAAAATGCGGTAACTCGAGCTAGAGACTTCCGAATTCGATTCTGCGCATACGCCCAAGTCCCAAATCACGACATGGATCCACTGGGACTGTCAAAACATCCATTTGTTCAAAACGTTGATCGAAGTCAACTCAAATGGATTTTTAAGGCACGAATTCATATTTTAGTCAACTTTTCACATAAAATCTTTTTGAAAAAAGGCACGGACTGCGTACGCAACTAGAGGAAGGATAAAAGGAGCTATTTGAAGTTTCGAAATTTAAAATTAAGATTTAAAACTCTAGATGGCCTATCGGGCCATCACATGGATCCAACTTCTCAAATGCTTACTATGAAGAAGGAAGAGAAGTTGGACACATTAAATTACAGCGCTTGACAGAATATGTTTCCATCTTGAGCACTAATCAATTTGTTGGTTCCGAGATTTTTAAATCTATTAGGATCAATTTTCTTTTCTTAGTCCAAAGGTTGGAGAAATTAGAAGGTGAACAAATTTATAGCATCAGATCTAAACGTGGGTTCGATGATTTTTATGTCTCTTGAAAAGTACATTACTACCATGGCATAATGGATTATCCTCAAAGGATGTAGATCGTTTATGAATTTGGTCGCCCGAGGACATTTGTTGTTAGATAAATATATTTTTAATTTTAAAATAAAGAGGAGAGAAAAAAGAAAAATGGTGTAAGTGAATCCGTTGATTTAAAGCAAAAATGGTGTAACTGAATCCTTTAATTTAATGCACTAATATTGGATTATATATAAATTGTAAGCAACCCTTATTTAGGGCGAGTAATATACAAAATTAGGACAATTTTAGTAAATAAGTTTCAAATATTATATAGGATGCAAAAAATCTCCATAACACTCATTAGCCACTTTTCTGCCTGATCTTTTAAAAATAATCAATATTAGGGAGTTCCGAATTATTTGAAAATTTATGACATAATCTTGGAGTTTCACTTGTAAAATATAAAACCTTAAGGCAATGGCTATTTTTCGATTACGACGGGGACGTGGCTATTTATGAATTTTTTCCATTAGACCTGGGTTAGAGATTGTAGCCCGTTAACAATGGTAACTACCGTACATAACATTTTTCATTTAAACAAAAGAAAAACAACCTTCATTACCTAAAAGTTTTAATTATAATTTTGGTAGATCATTGTTTCTATTTCATGATAGAAACCTTCAAAACAATTTGAAGATTTTTTTTTCTAAACAAAATGAAATATTATTAAAGAAATTATTGTTGGGATCGAAATAACAAGGCATGATGCGAAAAGCTAATAAAGTAAAATTTAGCAACGATAAATCAGACAACAAAGATAAATAGACTAAAATAGACGTAATATACTTATATGGATTCAATTGACCTACATATGAGAAAACTATTATAAAAGAAAATATAAAACTAAGGAAAAACTGATCTCTTCCAAACTAAAGCACTCATAAGGACTACATTGTGGATACTATTGTTGTGTTATTGTGTGAAAAAGAAGGATCCTCAATTTATAGAAGTATAAAAGAAAGAATTACGGCCCTTGTCACTTGGCCCGACGACCTAACAAAAAAGGGCACAAGTTTGAAATCATTACTCTGTTTGGTCCAGGTTGTACGTAACATGAAAGAAACTTTTCAATCTTTAGCCCACATTAATTATTTTAATGGTTATATTCAGTTTTCACTTTTATTTTTATTTCTATTCTCTTTTCTCACGCCATTGATGTCTTTCTTTTTCTTCTTCTTCTTCTTCTTCTCTACTTTCTTTCGCCCAAACAGACCATGAAAAGTAGAGAGAAATTGAAATTTCTAGAAATAAAATTTTATGTCAACAAAAGAGCTGAGCAGACAAGAGAAAAACTCAGGTTAGTCATTAATTACCAACCACTTAACCACTTCCTCGGGTTGTTGAAGCCAGCCCCTTTGTAGGGAAACTTTCGTATCTATGATTTAGTTTGCTTTCTTGGAGTCTCTTGCTTTGTTCTCTATACTGTGGTATCAGAGTCAGCCCATCCTTTCGAAGGGAGGAATAGTTTCCTAAATAAGTCTGAGTCATTTCCATCATCATCTTCCCTTGCAAAAATGAATATGTCCCCTACTCTATATAAAACCTTGTCCAAAAAATATGATTACCTCTATGAAGTAGAAATCCTACCCGACGAACAGAAAGTATCCTCCACTGCACTACCCCTTATAAACCCTTACTCAGCTTTGCCAAAAAATCATTTGCACCCTGGACCCAAATTCGTTCCTTAGTCCAACACAGACCAAAAGAAGTCAAAGAATATGTTGCTGCTTCAAAGCTTGACCAGCATCCTATTCTTGCCACTCGAGAGGAACAATTTATCACCCTTCAAATCCCAGATGATTTTCCTAGATGATGGAGAGATCATGGTTTTACCCATATCCATTTTGGTGCTATCCGAATCGCTTTAACATATCACGGAAGAAAAGGTCAACCCATTATAGCTCGGCTTTCTCTTCTAGATACATGATACTTGGAGTACCAACATGCGAATTTAGGTACTGCAGAAGTTACTTGAATGCTAGGACTGTCTTCATAACAATCATTCCAAATTTCAAGATTTCCCTTTATGACCCATAGTTGACTGAAGCACTAAAAATTCAAGTCCAAATCCAAGGAGTCCCACAAGCCAAAGATTCTATCCAAGCCACTCTTCATCATCAAATGGCGTGGCGAGTCCAAAATCATGCCATGGATCTCTGCATTCCCAGAGGAGAAAATACTTTACTCTTGAATATTGATGCTACCAAAGGAAACACGATGTGCACCCAAATACCCAGAAAATTTTCCAGAGATGAAGTTGTCAAAATTCTTCCTGATTCCTGGATCACAAATTATGAAAAGTTAAGGGAACCAGAGGAATCTCTGCAATCAGGTGAACCAACTTTTACCAAAAGAAATGATAAAATTGTTTCCATAAGCTTTGACCATTCCCATCTCAAAAAACCCAATAAAGCCATCTTCTCTTGCCAAATGATTCAACCCAAAGATATAACAGATACATCCCCTGAACCTGACGGAGGGTTTTTCTGGAATATACAGTGCATCATGGAAGAACATGACTGGTGTCAACATTTTGACAAAGAAGGAAAAAGAATTTGGTGGTTCAAATGCCCCTTTACGGGACACTGCCCTTGGGATCTTAGTTGCGACTGCCAAGACTGTTTGGAAGACTCAATTGGGGAATATGATGAACACCATCTGCGTCATTGGAAAAGATTCGGCCTTAACAAGACCAAACCAACATCCAAGAAAAAAGGGAAAACCACTAAAAAGCAATTTCGAGCCAAATATGAAAATAAAGACCCTTCAATTGGCTCATTAAGCGGTCTAGGTAACTATGAATTTCTTGTCAGTTACAAACCCCAGGAATGGCCAAAATTATCAGAAAAATTCACTCCAAGATGGGAAGATAGTGAAACCACAACCAAACCCAAACCACTATTAGCTCATACCACCAAAATCCAAAAAGCCACCTTAACCTAAAACTTCACCAACTCAAAAAACCAAAAATCCCACAGAACCATAGATATTTCATGCTAAGTCCTTCAAGCTCCAGTCATACCCAAGATTTTCCTTCACTTCAACCTTTTGAAAAAGAGGGTATAAGCCATGCTCCAAATATCCCCAAGAAAAACGTAGTGCTACCTACTGGAGAAAAACCCCCAACAAGTGACATCAAAGCAACAATGAACTGGCAATCAGAAAATTCCATCTGCTAAACAACATCGGCAACACCATAAAGAACGTGGCCCATACACAAAACAAAATGATTAGAAAAGTGTAAACAATTGAGAAAAAAGTGGAGCAGACATCGTCTCACCATGTAAGACTAATCAAAGCCTTGGAACTAAGGCTGGCAAATTTACAATATGAGATTTGTCCGTTAGGAACTTCACTTTTCATATTCTTCCAACAACAATAAAAGGAGACGCTTTCCATCAGAGAACAAGTTCAACTTTTGAGAAATGACCACTTTGAGACATAAAAGACCCCAGTTTTCCCCTCAAAACCTACCTTCTTCTCTATGTCGCCACAAGCATACTCCCTACCTAAATTGGACTACACCTTTTCTACTTTTCCAATAGCCTCACAAAATCTTATTTATTTCACCCAACGTTTAAAAGAAGAACATGATTTTGATATTGAAAAAATGGTTTGGGAAAGGAAAGATGCTCTTGTGGTGCAAAAACAAACCAAGAAAAGGCGAGATCATGGTAAAAGTTCAAAAGGGTCCAACCCCAAAAATCTGATGATTTCTGACCAGAAGGCTCCAGACCTCTATGTCTCCCAGCCAAGAAACATATCAGAAGAAGAACCCCCTGGTCGGAATCTCTAAATTCACTAGACGATGAAATAATGGAAGATAGCTCTCAATCAAGCAATGAATCCATAACAAACTCTTCCGAAGATGACGATCCCCCAATATTTGTCAACCAGCCAAGAGACCCAGAAATATCTGAAGTAGATGAGGAACAAGAAGGCATGACGGATGAACCAATCCCAAAAAGAAGATATGAGCCCATGGCGTCAAAACCAGTTGGAACTGGTTTCCACACTTTCACCTTAGATGACGTCAAGGTTTTAAAATGGCCTCAAAGGATCCAATGAACCCAGCTGGTTTGGAAATTTGATAGTGGTCATCACCATGATATTCGTATATATCAAGAGAGAATATAGTTTTTTCAGTGGGTTCATCGTCCATAGAGAATATGGACTCGAGGTCTTCTTCTTTTCCGAGATGTATGCCAGTGTAATCTTCAATTTCTTGCAAGAGTTTGACAAATTTCCTCAATTATGGACAATTTCTTGTGAAATGTCCAATATTGTGGCAAATAAAGCATCTGTCCTTTTTGTGAAAATTTCCTGGCCTCCTTCGTATGAAATATTTTGTGCGCCTCCTGGGCCTGGATTTACCATCTAGAATTCTTGGCCATCTAAATCTCCTGAATCCTCTCCGTCGCCTAGATGTGCAGCAGGAACATCCTTATCTGGTGATTAGATCAGATTTGTGGCATGCTTTGTCAAGTGCTGGATTGTGTTGGATAATTTGTTTTAGGGCAGAGCGCTTCGTACAAATGTGATCCAATGCAATGAAAATAGCTTGCCTGATGTAACCAACTTGTGGGATTGTTACGGACTGAAAATTTTCTTCAATGATGGTCATGGTTCGGCTTGCCAACAACTTTGGAAAGGAAGAGACAAAGGCTTGCTTTAGATGGATGTCTCCACCGATCTCGAAGTATATCTTCGCCATTTTTTGAAAATGCTTGTCAATGTCATTTCTGTAAAATGACACACACTTCATCTCGAAGAGTTGTCTTCGCATCTTTTCCTGTCTTTGGCCAGTATCTCCATAGAAAACTTCATGCAGGATTCTGATGTTGAAGGCAAAATCTTGGGAAGTAAGAAAAGTATTTTTGTCTTGAAGTCCAAGTGAGTTCTACCAATCTCTGAGAATTCCTGAGAAACGAGAAGTGAGTTCTGACAGGATGATATACTTTTCTCGTTCCACCAAATTTTTGGTCACCATCCAAGTATAGAAGTCTTGGATCCTTTGAGGCCATTTTGAAATCTTGACGTCATTTAAGGTGAAAGTGTGGAAATCAGTTCCAACTGGTTTTGACACCATGGTCTCATATCTTCTTTCTGGGATTGGTTCATCTGTCATGCCTTCTTGTTCCTCATCTACTTCAGATATTTTTGGGTCTCTTGGCTGGTTGACAAATATTGGGGGATCGTCATCTTCGGAAGAGTTTGTTGTGGATTCATTGCTTGATTGAGAGCTATCTTCCATTGTTTCATCGTCTGATGAATTTAGAGATTCCGACCATGGGGTATCTTCTTCTGATATGTTTCTTGGCTGGGAGACATAGAGGTCTGGAGCCTTCTAGTCAAAAATCATCAAATTTTCGGGGTTGGACCCTTTTGAACATTCACCATGATCTTGCCTTTTCTTGGTTTGTTTTTGCACCGCAAGAGCATCTTTCCTTTCCCAAATCATTTTTGCAATATCAAAATCATGTTCTTCTTTTAAGGGTTGGGTGAAAGAAATAGGATTTTGTGAGGCTATTGGAAAAGTAGAAAAGGTGTAGTCCAATTTAGGTGGGGAATATGCTTGTGACGACATAGGGGAAAAGGTAGGTTTTGAGGGGAAAACTGGGGTCTTTTGTGTCTCAAAGTGGCCATTTCTCAACAGTTGAATTTGTTCTCTGATGGAAATCGTCTCCTTTTGTTGTTGGTTGAAGAATTGGAAAAGTGAAGTTCCTGGCGGACAAATCTCATATTGTAAATTTGCCAGCCTTAGTTCCAAGGATTTGATTAGTCCTGCATGGTGAGACGATGTCTGCTCCACCTTTTTCTCATTTATTTCCACTTTGCTTATCATTTTTTTTTTGTGTATGGGCCACATTCTTTACGGTGTTGTCGATGTTGTTCAGCTCTTTATTTTGGCAAATGGAATTTTTTGATTGCTAGTTCATTGTTGCTTCGATGTCACTTGTTGGGGTTTTTCTCCAGTAGGTAGCACTATGTTTTTATTGGGGATTTTCGGAGCATGGCTTATACCCGCTTTTTCAAAAGATTGAAGTGAAGGAAAATCTTGGGTATGACTGGAGCTTGAAGGACTTAGCATTAATATCTGTGGTTCTGTGGGATTTGTCGTTTTTTGAGTTGGTGATGTTTTAGGTTCAGGTGGCTTTTTGGATTTTGGGGTATGAGCTGATGGTGGTTTGGGTTTGGGTGTGGTTTCACTATCTTCCCAGCTTGGAGTGAATTTTCTGGTAATTTTGGCCATTCCTGGGGTTTGTAACTGACAAGAAATTCATATTTACCTGGATGGCTTAATGAGCCAATTGAAGGGTCTTTATTTTCATATATGGCTCGAAATTGCTTTTCAGTGGTTTTCCCTTTTTTCTTGGATGTTGGTTTGGTCTTTGATGTTTAGCTTAAAGTATATATATTTCTATGTATATCGCCTCATATTTTACTTTTGTTTCGTGAATTTGGGATGTTAAGTCGTATGATTTATATTAATTTGAAGTGTTGTTATGTGTAGGAATGATTCGGGGGCAATTGGGGGCGAAACGCGCGAGATTTGAGCCAAAACGAACGAAACTGGGAAATGTGCAAATTTGGGCGCCACCTGTGGCGCCCAGCCCTACCTGTGGCGCCAAAAACAGTAGCTAAAAATATATGGAGCCGTGGAGGGCGCCTGGCGCTAGCCAGGGCGCCAGTGACGTGAAATTTCTCCGATTTCGCCCGGGACAAGGTTATTTCGGCCCTAGACCTACCCAACACGTATAAAAGCAAGACTAAACCTATTTTTGAAGGGGGAGACGCCACTTTGGAGGAAATATACACACGGGATCATGAGGAAGCGAAGAATTCTCAGTTTTCTTCATCTTTTTCTAGTATTTCCAATTGATTCAACACTTATGCAATTGTTTGATTACATCATGAGTGGCTAAACACCCATTGTTCTGGGGTTGTGATTTAGCCATGAATATTGTTGTTTGATATTATCTTGACCTTGATTATAATTCACCAATATATGGTTGTTTCTTCAATTCTGTGTTTAATTGCTTAATTGTCTGGCCAGCAGTTAGGTTCTATTTACTATCCATGCTATGCTTGGGAAAGCCGTGTTTAGATTAGAGAAGAATTGAAGAGAGCATGATCTTAACCCTTAGGGGGAGCGGATTTGTGGCTAGGATAGGAATATACCTAGTCACCGTGCTTAATTAAATATCGTAATCTTAATGCGTTCTTAATAGATTGATTTCATAGGAATATAGGCGTTAATCTATTGAGAATAGGTGAGTAGTACTTCGAGAGAAGGCTATGAGAGCATTTATCGATTAATTAGCAACCATGAGTGAATTATATGAAGGGGAGAGTTAATTAGAACACAATACAAATGGTGAATCGATCACAACCCTGGAATACTTGTCTCTACTGAATACACAACAATCAATTTGTTACTTGATAATTTAGTTATTATTTAGAATTGTAGTATAATATAATCATCTTATTGGACTTTGATTTTAGCTGGATTGAATAACAATTTTAGTGATTTAGTGAGTAGTTTATACAAGTCTCTGTGGGTTCGACACTCAACTTATCATTATATTACTTGTCGACCACGTATACTTGGGTGTGCGTTTGGGAGCAACAAGTTTTTGTCGCCGTTGCCGGGGACTTGAATATTAACTACTCTCTAGTTTTTGCTTTAATTATTTATTTCGTCTGTCTAACGTTCTA